CAGATGGGGCTGGGGCCAGGGAAGGCTGACTTGAGAGGTGGAAGAGGTTTGGGGGCTCCATCTTCCCGGGAGGAAGGAGCTGGGCTGTGTCAGGGCTCCAAGGGCCCCTGGAGGCTTGGGGGGCAGGGAGGGAGGATAAAAAGGAAACTTAGAGGGTGACATGGGCTGGGAGAGACCAAAAATATATGCACAGACAAATGCGTGATGTCCGACTAGCTACCTTGAGCTTCACAAAGGAGCAGCATCTTGAGGGTGGCTATTTCACATCTTCTAGCATCAATTTTTTCATGAAATATTTATGTCCTTTGCCTATTTTTCTTAAAGGAGTGTTTGTCTTGTTGATTTGTAAGATCTCTTTATATACGAAGGCTCTTACATATGGTGCATGGCTTAAAAATGACTCTGGCCACAGCGTGGAGAGACAGGGTGGCACAGGTCTGCAGAGACTGCTAACTGCCCTTCCCCAGAGACCTCGCTCAGCCCCAGGACGGGTTTTGAAAAAATCATGTCACTCTCCTGCCAGAAGACCCTCATGGCTGCCACTGCCCAGAGGAGGGGACCTTGACTCGGAGTCCACACTTGGGCTTTGGGGGAATCCCTGAACCCCTGAACAGAGAGCAATATTAACTGTGTGCGCTTGCTAGGGAGAGGGCTCATATGGCATCAGATATGCAGATGGGTCAGTGACCCCAGAACATTCAGGGTGTGGGGTTCCAGGCAGAGAGAGTGGTTGAGGGGCCTGAGTGCTGGGTTCAAATCGTAACCCGGTCACACTTGGGCTACCTCAGGCAGGTCACCCACCTTTCTGTCTTGAGTCCCTCATCAGGAAAAGGAGAAAGTGATAATGCCCGCTTTATAAGGCTGTTTCGAATGGAAACGAGTTAATACGCGTAAAACGACTAGAAGAAAACTTGGCGTGTGGTAAATACTGTGTGTTAGGTGAACGACGGGGCTGAAGGACATAGGTAAAGACTCTCTGGGGTGTCACGTCCTCTCGGTGCTGGTTGTGATCACAGCAGTCCTCATTTGCAAGGGACACACAGTTGGACACTCTTACCTCCTTTGTGCTGGATCTTAGACCTCTATTCATATGACCTCAGGTGACTTTTTTTTTTTCTTAAACTGCTGCAGCACCATTAAAATGGAACCCCCCCACGGCTTTTCTGCCACTTTCCGGTCTGACATGCCCTAGGGTTCTTCTAGCTCATTTCACGTCATCTTCTGGGGTCCAGCCTGCAGTTCTGGGAGAAGCTGCAGGCTCTCATCTACTGCAACGCACCTCGGTCTCAGAAGCGGACGGACTGGGGTCCTGGAACTAGCCCTGCCCTCCGGCCAGCTGTGGGAGCCAACCGGCAAGGCACTTGACCTCTCTGACCTCAGTTTCTTTATCCAGAAAGTGGGGACAGCCGCCCTCTGGCAGGTTCTTGGACCAGCCCCACGCAGGGCTTCCGAAGCCCTGAGCCAAGCGTCTGCACAGGCGCTGGACGAGCCGGGGTTGTTTGCACAAAGACTTGGCTGAGTCTGAGGAAGCCGTGGGCCAGCCCCGCTCCGCCCTGACCCTGGCGCCAGCGTCCTGAGAAGGTACCAGAAGAGGCGGCTCCTCCCGGGCCTCCCTGCCCAGGAGGGCCATGGCCCAGGAGGGAGACCCCGCCCACCAGGAATCCCTGGTGCAGACCCTGAACTTGAACTTGTCTGGCCACAGGCCTGACCCTGATCCTGGGGCTGTCATTTATCCTAATTCCTTTGATCCTCTGCCCCAGCGAGACCTCATCAGGCCATGGCTCCTCGAAACACAGCCACCCCACGTGTCCCCCCCGCCAGGCGAGCCCGTGTGTGCGCTCACGTGCGCTTGAGTGTCTGGGTGTGTCCTTGGCAGTAGATCAAAGGTAGCCACCCTGACTGCCACGGGGTGACGTTTCCCTCTGCCTTGAGGGGGGCACTTGACTGTGCTGGTCCTGCTGTGTGACCTTGAAGTGTATCCCAACTTCTCTGTTTCTTGTCATCCAGAATGAGGGCTGACGGGACGCCTCTGTGTCTTCTGCCGCAGGATACTGTGAGCATGGGTGAACTTGTGAGCATGAAAGTCACTGGGGCCGCGTGGAGGACACAGGCATCGGGGACCCCGCGGCACACACCCTGCTCACACCCCTTTCCTTGATCCTCAGTGTGACCTTCAGCAAGGAGGGCAAATCGGGGTTTTGGGAAGATGTCACACCTCCTCCCACCCCTGGCTGACCCCACATCCCATCCAACGTGAATTTGTTCTAGAAACAGTTACAGAGCCAGGCACAGTGGTACCTACATGTCTGTAGTCCCAGCGGCTCGGGAGGCTGAGGCAGGAGGATCACAGGTTCAAGGCCAGCCTCAGCAGTTTAGCAAGACCCTGTTCAAATAAATAAATAAATACATACCTAAGGGCTGGGGACGTGGCTCAGTGGTGAAGCCTCCCTGGCACCAAGAGGTAAAAATGATAAGTTTCAGGCACAGCGTGTGTCAGGCCCCTGCGCCCAGCTGCTCTGGCTCTGGGGATGACAGATGGCTGCAGAAAGGGGGGGGGCTCCCCGGGGTTCCTTGTCCCCGAGGCCATGCGCTCGCTCCTTCCCCTGCTGTCCCCTGTCCCAGTTTGTCTGGTGTCTGTGCTTGCCGTCGCGCCTTCAGCAGGGACAGCACAGGTGGCCACGTTAGTGTGGCCACTCTGACCGCGAGCTGAGCAGTGCCTGCGGGCTTCGGTGAGGTCAGTCCTGCTGTCCGGCGCCTCCGCCATCCACCCGTGGCTCTCGGGGTCTGCAGGGGGCCGCAGGGGCCCGGGTCCAGCGGACCTTCGCCTCCTCTCTCTGGCTGTCCCTGGCCCAGGGCTGCAGTTCCTCGCTGTCTTCCACTGGCCCACCTTGGCCCGTCCAGCCTGATTCCTGGTCTTGGTGCCAGGTCCCATCGTCCCTTGAGGACGGTCCCCAGAGTCCCCTGGCACTTTCCCCAAGGAGCTCGGAGTCCCCTCTGTGCAGAACACCGTTGTCACCATTGCAGCTGGCCCAGGATAGTGCTCCTCCCCTGCTTGCGGTGACACGGGTGTCAACACCTCCGGTCCCCCAGAGGCCGAGTGGTGTTTGAGGAGTGGCAGTGGAGCGCCTCTGTTCCTGTCTGTCACTGTGGCAGAGGGCTCGCCTGCGACGGATTTTTAAAGAAATTATCGCATAACAGATTGTCACGTGACACCAGCAGGGCCTCAGACATCTCAGTTCACATCATCTCTTGGTGGCATCAAGAGGCCACCAGGAGGAACCTAGCCACCTAGGTTTGTGTGGTTCACACGGTGAAGTCCTCAGGATGTGGCCCGTCGTCAAACGCCATGGGCTGTACTTAGGAGGTGCCCGGGGGCCTGAGTGACCATCAACTGCGATGAATGGAGAGTTATAAGGACGGTTCAGTCAGGCGTCTGCAATCCAGCAGCTCCGGAGGCTGAGGCAGGAGGATCGCAAGGTCAAGGCCAGCCTCAGCCAGTTAGCGAGGCCCTAAGCAGCTCAGCGAGACCCCGACTCTGAATGAGATATCTTAAAAGGTCTGGGGATGGCTCAGTGGTGGAGCAGCCCTGGGTTCCATCCCAGGTGCCAATCACTCCTTAGGGAGGTGCGTGTGTCACTGTGCCCTTCAGATGTGAGGGCTGGGGGCTCTGAGAGGACAGGAAGAGCCGGGAGGGGACAGAGGGAGGCAGGTTGTGTGGGGGGAGGCGCCCTGAGTGTGATGGGCGCAGTTCATTCCTGGAGCTGGGAGGGCCCATGGCCAGGTGGGAGGGCTGGGGGCCCACTAGGTGGCCTCTCCTGAGGGGCGGAGTCGCGGGGCACTTCCCGCAGGGGTTAGGGATCTGGGGGGGCAGGAAGTCGTCCCTGTGGCCGAGCCCGATGCTGCGCACCTTGGGGGGCGTCCGGGGCCATCCTGGGCGGCAGGAAAAGAAGCCCGAGGGTCCCAAAGACCTCAAGACGCAGGTCCCCCAACCCGAGCTGCCAACCTAGAGACCCCAACACAGAGACCCAAGTGGGGAGGGGACACTGGGCCTGGGGGGACATGGCTGGCGGGGGGCGGCGCTAAGCCAGCACGTCACATTTACAAGGAGTTAGAGTTGACACACGTCACATTTACAAGGAGTTAGAGTTGACACACGTCACATTTACAAGGAGTTAGAGTTGACGTCTTGCTCCTGGGGTTCCGCCTCGGGGCCGTTTTCTGAAGGACAAGAACAGGGGGCCATGGTCTAAATGTGTCCCCAAGTCCGTGTGTTGGAACTGCATCCTCAGGGACATACACCGAGGAGGCCCGAGGGAAGTGACCGAGTGTCTCATAAGAGAGGTGAGGGCCTTAGGAGGAGGCCCGGGAGCTTCCTGCTCCTCTGCCACGGGGACAGCCACAGGGGACAGCCACAGGGGACAGAGAGGGGAGACGAAGCCGTCGCCTGCCCCCACAGGGCCTGCGCCTGGTCTTGGACTTTCTAGTGGGCACCACACCCCTCTTCACAGACTGCCTGGACGGGGCGCTGCTGTTCAGCAGCAGGGATGCGCTCAGGTGGCTGAGGACACTTCTCCAGCCTGCGCTGTGTCCCTGTGCTGTGTCCCCATCACCGCGTAAGGGCTCCACACATTTCCACGCATGTGACCCCCGCCACACCCCAGCGAGACGGGGCTCTCCTGGAGAGTACTTGGCAGATGAGGGAGACCAGGCCCTGAAACACAGGTGGCCTAAGGGTGACAGCCAGTAAGTGACAGAGCTGGTGCTTACACTTGAAGTCATCGTGCATGTGTGGGGACGGCTCTCCAAGAGTGCCCCACGAAGAAACTCCCCTGGAACAGGCTGAGCCTCTGCCCTGTGAATCTGGGTGGCATCTGGTGTCTATAGAGTGCAGTGAACTTGGGGGCCTCAGGACAGAGGCACAAGTGCCCAGGGCTGGGAAAACTGTGTGGGGCGAGCGAGCCAGAACCCCAGTCAGCACTAACGCCACTTTCTCTCCACAGGCGCCCTGGCATCTCCCCATGGGGTGGCTTTGCTCCCACCCCCTGTCCCCTGTGAGCTGCTTGATCCTGGTGTGGGTGACAGTCGTTGGTAAGTCACCATCTCACTACCGTCCACTTATTGACTCTTAACGGTGTGCCAAGGTCCTGGGGCACATCAGCGAACAGAGCAGAGATCCCCTTATGTGGCAGGGGGAGGGGACAGCCAGTGACAAATGGTCCTGAGTGCAGTTATTTTCGTGGAAGTTCACGGTTGTCCTTGAAGGGCAAAGAAATAACTCAAGGTTGTCGCTAAAGGTCATCAGAGGTGGAAAAGGAGAACGTGGAACAGGGTCCGGTGCAGGGCGGCGGGCGACGTGGGGGATGAGGGGGCAGTTGGGGTGGGGGCCGGATAGTGGTCCTGGGGGAGCACTCAGCAGAGGCCCCAGTGGAAAGCCCCCTGGCTCAGGACGTGGAGGACCCGAGGGGGACCACTGTGGAGGGACAGGAGCAGGAGGAGAGGGGCCTGGGGGGCAGCGCGGGCGGGTCTGAGCAGAGGGGCAGGAGGGGTGAGGCCAGGGAGGGTCCCGGGTGCCGCAGGAAAGGACAGGAGGGGCCAGGACCCAGGTCAGAAGGAGACACAGGGCTTCTGGGCCCACCTGGCAGGTAGATTTGGGGACAGGCTGGAAGGGGGGCACAGGAGAGAGGGGGGTCCAGGATGCCTCGGAAAGCTCCCACCCAAGCCCCAGGGGAGGGCGTGCGCTTCAGAAGGCTGCGGGAGGGGCGGGGCTTGAGACAGGGCGGGGCTTCGGGAGGGGAGAGGCTTAGGGACATAGGGGCGGGGCTTGGGGGTAGATGGGCGGGGCTTACGTGGGTGGGGCTTGGGAGGGGAGTGGCTTGGGATAACGGGCGGGGTTTGGGATAGAGGGGCGGGGCTTGGTGTTGGGTGGGCGGGGCCGGAGTTGGGCCTGAGATGAGCTGGAGATGGTTCCTGGGCTCCCAAGCCTCTCACGGGGCCCTCCCCCTAACGTCGCAAGCCCTGTCCGCCGGACAAGAGCACATCGGTGTGGACCGGGAGGGGACAGTGCTGAGCCTGAAGCTCAAGGCTGGAGCCGGGTGGCCCAGAGCTCTGGGACAACTTAGCGGACCCCGTGCCCCCTGCTTGATGCGGCCCTCCAGCCTCTGCCCACCCTTCCCTTTCTCCTCTCCTGTGGCCGAACCTACTAGAAGCCAGAGGACAAGGGACCTGGGCAGAGACGACCATGGGGGTCAGGTAGCCTCCTGAGCACAGAGCAGGCAGAGGGCATGGGAACTGAAGGGGACAGGGAGGAGGCAGATGGATAGTGGCCCCTGGCTCGCACTCGTTTCTTTTTTCTTTCTTTTCTTTTTGTTTTGTTTGGGTGTCGGGGATTGAACCCTGGGTGCTGACCCACTGAGCTGCACCCCTAGCCCTTTTTCCTTTTTGCGTAGTGACCGGGTCTGGCCGAGTTGCTCAGGGCCTCACTAAGTTTGCTGAGGCTGGCCTTGAACTCGCTGCCTCCTGAGCTGCTGGGATCGCAGGCGTGCACCCCCGCGCCCAGTTTTTTTTTTCCTTTCATTCGACCAAGTTGTACCCGGTTGGGTTCCCACCGGGTACAAAGGCATGGGGTTCCTTCTCCTCCACGGGCCCCACAGCTACCTGAAGCCCCAGTGCCCTGGTCCTGGCCCGGCTCTGGGGACTTGACCCTCTGCTTCGCCCGCATTGGGCTGGTTCCCTCCTCCTGGGTGCGCCCCCCCCCCCCCCCCCGGCTGTTGGGCTCCGAGCATCTCAGGCAATGCTGTGTCCCCACAGGGAGCATGAGGGTCCTGCGTGAGCCCACCTGCTTCTCGGATTACATCAGCGTCTCCACCTGCGAGTGGCAGCTGGACAGTCCCCTCAATTGCAGCGCGGAGCTCCATCTGTCCTACTGGCTGGATTTCGAATTCTCCGAGTAAGCCCTGGCGGGGCTGGGGCTGGGGCTGGGGACCAGGAGGTGCCCAGAGGGCTGGCCGTGGTGGGTGGGGGGGAGGGCTGGAGGCAGCACGCAAGGCCACTCTGGTCCCCTGCTCCCACCGCACCCTGGCTGCTCGAGAGCCCCCGGACCCAGTCCTCGAGTCAGGGTGGGGGGAAGCTGGAGGAGCACCTGTTTCCTTGACGTCCTGGGGACATCTGCGGGTCCCAGCCAGCCTCACTCAGCACCTGCGTCTGCAGGAACCGCACGTGCATCCCCGAGAACAGCGCAGGCGCAACGTGCGTGTGCATCATGCCCATGGACGACCTGGTCAAAGTCGACACCTACCAGCTGGTCCTGTGGGCCGGGAGGCAGCAGGTGTGGCATGGCCTCTTCAAGCCCAGCGACCACGGTGAGGGGCCGGGAGGGGAAGGCGCGGGTGTCCTGCGCTGGCCGGCTCCAGGGCAGAAGGTGACCCAAGAGGTTCCTGTGTCCCTCCAACCCTGGTGGGGTTCCTGCCCCTTCCTGGACCTCGGTCCTCCCGTCTTGGGCCCAGGAAGGCGTCTTGACACCAGGCCCAGCCACTGAGCACACGCCCGCTGCAGATCACAAAAGGAGCTGGGAACAGCGCTTCCCCTCTCTGTAGAGTGTTCGTGGAAAGCCGATCTTACCCCGTCCCCAGAGTCCCCGCAGCAATTCTCCCAGGAGTTTGTTCCTGTGTTGTTTAAAGAGGATTTTAAAGCAGGAATTTATTGCTGTGTGACCTGGGGCAAGTCACATTACCTCTCCGAGTCTCAGTTTCCAAAAAAGATTTATTATCCCCTTTTGCAGGTGAATAAACTGTAGTTCAGAGAAGGTGAGCGACCCTCCTTAAATCGCACAGCTTCTCAGCAGTAGAGAGAGTACTCAAGGCCAGGTCTCTCAAAAGACTTGATCTTTTCCATCAATGAGTCTTGTTTTTTTTTTTTTTTTAATTAATCAATTTAAAGGCTTTTGCTTTTGTTCTTTGGGTTTTTTAAATTATACCCTTTATTTTTTATGGGAACATTATAATTATGCATAATAGTGGCTTTCATTGTCCATCTGTGCTTCCTGAAGTCCTGCTCATGGGTGGTGGCCCCCAGGTTATTGGGATTGCCTCATGCAGGAACTCTAAAGTCAATCTTAGAACCTGGGGGTGAACATCTGATGGGGCTACACCACTCCTTGGTGTTTACCCTAAAGAATTAAAGCCATCGCACCTCAGTGAGGCACTCGACTCGTGTTGACAGCAGCACCGTTCCCAAAAGCCCAATGATGGAACAGCCCAGGTGTCCCTTAGTGGGTGAAGGGATAAAGACAACGTGGTCTACATCCACAGTGGGGTTTTATTCAGCCCTAAATAAAAATGAAACCACGGAATTTGTGGGGGAAAATAGGTGGAATTTGAGAACCTTAACGAAATCAGCCAAACTAAAAAAAATCAAGGATCGTGTGTGTTCTCAAGAGTGGAAAATGAAAAAGAAAGATGGGGGCTCTGGTGGCCATGGGAGGGAGATCAGCAGAGGGGAGGAGAGACACGGGGAGAAGAGAGGGAATGGGGAGGTGCCAGGGAATAGTGTTGGCCGAGGTAGATTGTCAGATTGCGTTCATGTAGGAATATATGGCAACCAAACTCATTACTAGGATAATGCACCAACAAAAATATGAAAAGAAAAAAATGCAAAATGAATATAATTATTTTAAGTATTTTAATAAATATATATTTAAAAAAAAAGAAAAGAAAAGAAACTCTGTGGTAGAGCACTTACCGCGCATGCACGAGGCCCGGATTCCCCATCCCGGTCGCCAGAATCATGATGAGCATGTGCAGATTGGATTGTTGGTCTTTATGCATATCTACACCTACGACCTCGTGGATGGGATCACCCAAGAGGAGGCCGTTTTCAAACAGGCGACTCAGGATGAAGCCACCTACCCCAATAAATAATAGTACAGATGTGGCCACGCTGTGCAGGATCAAACTGGCAGAGCCATCCGGGTCCCTTTGCTCCTAGGTTTTGCCCCGTCGGTGGAAAGGTAGTTCATAACCACTAAAGCGCCACGTGGAGTTTTAGCAGCGTGGTCGCTGCTATTCCGATGACCCTTCTCTGTATGGCTTTCTCTGTGTGGCACCTGCCGTCCAGCCGCAGAGATGCAGCCGCCGAAAGCTCTCATTGGCCAGCGGCCGGGCGGGGGCGGGGCCTCGCATCCCCGGACACGCCCCTCATGCAGGTACCGCTTCTCCCGCAGTGAAACCCAGGGCGCCCGAGAACCTCACGGTTCACACCAGCGACCACGACACGAAGCTGCTGACGTGGAGCAATCCGTACCCTCCAGGGAGCACCCTGTACAAGGAGCTCACCTACCTGGTCAACATTTCGAATGAAAACGACCCTGCGGAGGTGAGTGAGCTCGCGATGGGGTTCTAGCGGCCTCTTGGGAACCCGAGGGGGTGTCAGAGACCCGGGCTCTGGAGCTGGGAGCTGGAGACGAGGCCTGGAACTGGACCCCAATCCCAGGACCTAGAGACCCAGCTCTGCCCTGTTCTTCCTGGTCCCTGACCAGCAAGGGACAGAAAGGGGGCCTTATTGCGGCTCTCTGCCCCTCAGCTGTCACAGAAGGGCCTCATCTGTGTCTCCCAGTAGCAAAGGGATGCAGGAGATTGCAGGTGGTCATCGCCATACTCTTCAATAGCCTGAGTCCCTGAGCGAGATGGTCACTCCATGACCTGGGCTCATGTCATGCAGAGGAACAAGTCTCCCTGGAGTGGCTTTGGTCATCAGCTTCCCTTTTGTCAAAAGGAGGAGGCTGCAGGCTTAGACTCTGCCCCCAGAAGACCAGATAGCCAGATCAGTGTCCTTGCTGGGCCCTCATGTGCTTCTCATCGTGAGTGATCCTGGCCCCCAGCACAGCGCTGGAGAGCGGTTCCTGTTAAAACCCACGCATTGAGCTGGCCTCTAGCTCGGTTGCTAGGGTGCTTGCCTCGAATGCACAAGGTTGTGGGTTCAATCCCCAGCTCCGCAAAACCAAAACAAAACGAAAAACATACCGAAGGCTGGGGATGAAGTTCAGTGGCAGAGCACTTGTGTGGCTGGTGCAGGACCTTGAGCTGGATCACACACCGTCTATAATTATAAGACAGCAGCCTTCGCCAGGTCTGTTGTGCGACATGCCGGGGTCCCAGGCTGGTGGCCTTAGCAGGCAGGGAGCAGGCACCAGCCATCCTAGGACCCCAGGTCAGCTCCTGTCACTGGCTCCTCCCTCTGGCCAAGTCAGGGGGTAGCTGGGGACTGATTCTGTGTCTTGGGTCTGGGCACTTGGCACTGGGCCAGGATGTGGGGGAGGAGCAGGAGGGGGCAGCTGGGCCCACAGCAGAGGCTCGGAGAGCAGGGGATGTGCCGATGCTCAGAAGGGACAGGTTGGGTTTGGTCAGTAAAGTGTCCTCCCATGTCTAGACCTGTGCAAGGTTCACTGAGAGTCCAGGGAATGGGCTAGGGGGGCTGCTGGACAGGGAGGGAAGTTTGACCTATGGAGGACAAAGAAATGTTACCAATTGGCTTATTTCTAGGGCCACCTTCAGGCACAGCTGGATCCAGGACCCTTCTTTATTCTGTGTTGACTTTGTCTTTAGGCAGGCTCTTCCATTGTGGAGTGTCCCAAGGTCTATAGCCAGAAGCCATGGTGGGAAAAGTGCTTCTGGAATGCCCCCCTCCAGGAGTCCCAGGAAAATCTTAGGGATGATGTTCACTGGTCTGGCTTGCATCTTGTGTCAGGCTCTAAACCAATCACTGTACGTGAGAGGAGGGAGGTGCAGGCGGAGTGCTCTGATTGGCCAGGGCAGAGACAGAAAGATGAAGTCCAGCTTCTGCTGTTGGCGGGGCAGACGCTATAGAGCCGCCCCATCCCCCATCCTCTTCCCAAGGACAGAACCGCACCTAAAGACTTGGGTTGCTGGCTAGAGCTGGTCACGTGCTCCCCTCTAACCAACCACAGGCCATGGATTGGGGTCAACCCTGGAGCTGGGGACAGTTTACCTTCCTGGATCACTGGGTGCCTAAACCCAATGGCACAGATTCCGGGCAGGTGTCCAGCTGTGTCTGCCGCACTGCGGCTCCGGCCAGGTGGGATGAAGACCGAGATGCTAGAACTTTGCGGGATGCAGTTAGTCCATCATCCCCGGGGATCCAGCCAAGGCTGTGTATGGGGAGGGAATGGGACCTGGGCACTGAGGGGCGCGCAGGAGTGTCCTAGAGAGAGGGAAAGAAGCTTAGCCAGGTCGAGGGGACTGCAGGAGAGATTTGGAGCCATGAAAACTCATGGCATCTGTGGGATGAGCCCCGGGGCTGCAGAGTCTGGGGTCAGGGGTTTGCAGTGAGCAAGCAGATTAGGCCACCCGTCTGTTTGCAGCTTTGAAAACAATGGTTCACGTACTCTGTGTCCCCAGCGGCAGGTGGCACATGTTATGCTGTGAACGCCCGTCGGTGGGCAGGTTCGGCCTTACCCCCAGAGATGAGGGAAACCAAGGTGGGGGGGGGGTGAAGCACCTCTCCTGGGGTCCCCCCTGGACACGGCAGAGCAAGGACGTGACCCCCAGAGCCCCTGGTCTTTGTCCTGCCCCGGATGTTTCTGACCTTTTCATTCAAAGACAAACAAACCACAAGCAGTTCTTTGGAAGCCCTGGCATCTGTTTGGTGTCTTGGTAAAACACTTCTCAGTGCCTTGCTCCTCTCCAGGCTGTGGGACTCCTTTGGTGACATAACCTGGCGGTGGCTTCTTGCTTACTCCAAAAAGAGGGAGAAAGGAAAGAGCATCCTCCCCTGCCCCCACCTCTCCCCCCCAGCCCTGCCCCCCAGCTCTGCCCCCCCAGCTCTGCCCCTCCAGCCTCTCCAGCAGCCCTGAGCCCGGCTTGTGGTGAAATCCCCCCATGGCTCACCCTGCGTCCGGGGGTCTCCCCAAACTCACAAACAGAGGCCAAGCCTCCAGGACCTGGGACCTGAGGGGGGAGAGGGCGCGTGGGTCTGGGTCCTGCAGGGAAGCGAGTTCTGGGCAGCCGCCTTCCTTTAGAATGGATCATGAACACGCTTTAATTTTGCTCCCCACGTTTGAAGCTTTTTAGGGGGGCAGGGCTAAAAGTAATATTTACATAAAGTGAAAATTCACCTGGCACGAAAAAACTTGGAATGGAATACTGGTCTCGCCCACCCCAGCCTCTTGGCCGCTGTTGTCTGGCCGGGGAGGGGAGGGGACTGCAGGATGGGGCCAACAGGCCGAGAGTCTTTCTGGAAAGGAAAGGTGGAGGCGCGCACATTGGCTCTTGGGTTTCTTGGGTTCCATATGCTGCGGTACCGCGTCCCTATCAGGGTAGTGGGTCTCACGCATGAGCCCCCACATTTTCAATTCTGCAAATATTTTAATGGAATTGACACAGGTGCCTTAGACTAGGCTGGCGATCGCCGGGCATGGTGGCGCACACCTGTAGTCCCAGTGACTCGGAGGCTGAGGCAGGAGGATTACAAGTTCAAGGCCAGCCTCAGCAACACAGCAAGACCACATCCCCAAATGAAAAACAGAAAGGGCTGGAGATGTGGCTCCGTGGTAGAGCACCCCTGGATTCAATGCCCAGTAGCAAAAGCAAATAAATAAAAGGATCTAGAACTTATAGATCCTCCCTCTGTAATTTTTGTATGCATGTGCAATACATATGTCTGTTTTTTCAAATGCTCCAATTGTTCACCTGTTATTTGGGGAAAGGGCTTCTCAAAAGGTCAGAACTCTAAAAAGGTAATATTTGTTTCAAGTTTGTTTGGGGTTTTGGTTTTCTGGGTGGTGCGGGGGGATTGAACCCGGGGCCTCAGGTGTGCTAGGCAAGTGCTGTGCCGCGGAGCCACACCCCCAGCCCCTGGGTTTAGGCTTTCCTACGTGCCCCACATCTGGGATGATGGTCAATGGGCTAATGGTTTGTGAGGTCCATTTTTGTGGGGCAGGAGGTGGGCACGGCTCAGCTGGGTTCTCTGCTTTCGGGCATTGGCTGTGGCTGTGGTTTCAGCCGAGGCTCGACTGGGGAAGGACAGCCCCCAAGCTCCTGTGACATCGGTGGCGTCCAGCTCCTTGAGGGCTGTGGGCCAGAGAGGCTTGGTGTTGTTCGGAGGAGCCCTGAGCCCCTGCCCCTGTGGCCTTTCCAAAGCCATCGAGCCGGAGAGAGTTCCTGTAGCTGGACGTTACTGTCACATACGGGCAGCCACATCCTGTCCCCTTCTCCGGATTCATGTCACAGGTGCTGCGCAAGACAATGACTTCCTGGTCCCCAGGGGCATCTTGAGCCTGGCTGTCATGGTCCCTGGGCCCCCTCCCTTTGTTAGAAAAGAAAAGGTGCCTGGCTCACTCTGCAGGAGGTCTTGGTGGTCACTTCCCAGCAGGGATAGTTTGGACAAGGCCCTTGACCATGGTTGGGGGTGCACGGACCCTCCCCGTGCGTCAGACACTGTGGCTTCCTGTGCTCCCGGCCCCATGCAGATGCTCGTCCCCATGAACCCACTGAATCCCAGCAGCTGGGGAGTAGGCACGTTTTCATTATCAACCCACCACCCCATGCCCAGGCCAGGGGCTCTTCCACCTAGCAGATGGGCTCAGGTCAGCAGGGAAGGACGGCGCCCCTCCCCGCCTTGGTGGCGCACTGACATCTCCCTTTCCTCCACCAGTTCATCATCTACAATGTGACCTACATGGAACCCACTCTCCGCCTCGCAGCCAGCACCCTGAAGTCCGGGGTCTCCTACAAGGTGCGGGTGAGAGCCTGGACCGAGAGCTACAACGGCACCTGGAGCGATTGGAGCCCCAGCGCTCAGTGGCACAACTGTGAGTATGGGGGTCCGGAGCAGCTGGAATCTCCACACCCCGCTTTTACTCTGTGGCCAGAAACTCCCCCTGGCTCTTCATATCCTGGGGTGTGTCTAACTGCATGCAACCAAATCGCCCACGGACAGTGTATCAGTCAGGATAGGTAGGTCCAGCTGCAGTAACAAATAAGCCCACGGTTTCCATAGCCGAACACCATAGACACACACTTGCTCCCATTACAGTCCAACGCAAAAGTTGCTGTTTTCTGAGCTCTGTAGGCAGAACTGGCTTCGCATCTGTCTCCAGTGACCAACCCAGGGTCAGCCACATAGCTGGGGCTTGGCTGTTGGGTTGTTTGGATTCTCCTATTGACCTGGGGAGGGAGAGGGAAATATAGAGCAAATATACAAAGTTCTGGACACTCTCTAATTATTTCAACAAATATTTACTGAGCTCCTGCTGTGTGGCCAGCCCCGGGCTAGATGCTGGGGGTAACATGGTAATGACAAAGCAGAGGGAAGTTCCTGCTCTTGAGGAGTGTTTTTGGAGGTGGAGACGAAAAGTAAACAAAGAAATAAGTCAGAGTCAGGCAACAGGAAGACATAAAACAGCAACTTTTGCACTGGACTGTAATGGGAGCAAGTGTGTGTCTGTGGTGCTCGGCTATGGAAACCGTGGGCTTATTTGTTACTGCAGCTGGACCTACCTATCCTGACTGATACACTGTCAGGGGAGGGGACAGTGGTAGAGAGGGAGCCGGGAGAAGGTGAAGATGACATGAATGTGAGCTTTGAGCTCAGGCATCCCTGCTCCAGTTGGTGCACTCAGCTCTACTTCCAGAGAGGGGCAAGTTCAAGGTCACGAGGTGGCGCTGAGCTTTGGTGGAGCAGAGAGGGTGGGGATGCAAATGTGACCATGGGCTCAGGGGGACAGGAGCTGGCAGTGAGACAGGAGGGGCTTTGGGCAGCCAGATCATAGAGGGCCTGGGAGGAGGGTCCCCAGGCTGGCCCCGGCACGACGCGGGCTCACCGCTGTGCTCCCCACTTGCAGATTACCAGCCGCCTCTGGTGCAGCGCCTGCCGATGGGCGTGGGCATCTCCTGCCTGGTCATCATGGCCATCTGCCTGTCCTGCTATTACAGCGTCACCAAGTGAGTGCCACGCTTCAGCCACGATGCCACCGGCCAGCCAGGGGGTGGGGATGGCCCTTCTGTTCGCCTGGCCCTTTCATGCAGCCGTCTCTGTCCACGGTACAGGGACCCTGAAGGGAATAGACGGAGGGGGACGGAGAGATGTTCCGCGTGCTCCTGGGATGGGGCACTTGAGCTGCACCTGACTGGGGAGAAGGAGGCGTCTCGGGCAGTGGGGGACGGGGGTGGCACCAGGGAGATGGAGCCGTCCCCTGCCCCCTTATCCCGCTGGGTGCCTGGGCTCTGGCCCAGCCACTGGGGCACGTGGCAGGAACCAGGAGAGCAGAGACAGTTGTCCTGGTGGAGTCAGGGACTCAGGTCGGAATCCCAGCCTGGCACCCGGTGGCGGGTGACGGACACGCTGGGCTCCTCCTCTGCAGGGTGACAGTGAGTCTGAGGGTGTAGGCACCCACCTGGGAAGCCCACCCTCACCTCGGAGGGGGCTGGGAGGAAAGCGGGGGAGCCTGTTTGCAGTGAGTTCTCTCCGTGGGTCACGGAGCCTCTGAGCCTCTGAGCCTCAGTCCTCCCTGCTCTGAAATGGAACTAGCAAGCCGTCCCCCCATGGGATTCCAGGTGGCTGAGAGGGGCCCACCCTTGGCTGGGCATATGGGTGGGCGGGACATCCAAGTCCCCTCCATGTCTTATCACTGATGCCTCCAAGTGGCCCAAGGCTGGCCTCTGCTCTCTGAGCCTCAGTGTCCCCAATGCCCATGTCCCTCCCAGTCCCCACTCACCGTCCCCCTCCAGGCTCTGGGCAGTGCTTTGAAGGCACGGGGCATGTTTTCCACCTGAGCCTTTGCACCCTCCGTGCCCCCACCTAGAAAGCCAGTTGCCCAGACGTCACCAGGGCTCCTCCCAGACGTCCCAGGGCACCTGGCTAGGTGAGGGGTACGTAGTAGATGCTCAATAAACACACGCTGGCTCAAGACGTGGACCGTCCTTCCCCGTGACAGTGCACTGGGACTCCAGACAGAGGCAGGAAGAGGGGGAGACGCTGTCTCCTGGGCCCCCCAGCTTCTCAGGCCACTTCACACCTCCCCCTACAGCTTGCCCTCGCAGGAAGCCCAGAACCGTCTCTCTGCAGCTTGAGTCTATCCTGATTCTCTGGGGCCTCGTCTCCTTGTCTGGGGAAGGGGTGAGCAGCAGGATCTGTCCCACGGGGTCACCGGGAGGATCCCGCGGAGCAACACCTGTCGGCACGGTCCCCGAGGCGTCCTCAGGCTCGGAGGACGGGCCAGTTGTCGTGAGCGGAGCGTTAACCGGCCCGTGATCAGAGACCAACAGCTTCTCCTCTTGTCTCTCAGGATCAAGAAAGAGTGGTGGGACCAGATCCCCAACCCGGCCCGCAGCCCCCTCATGGCCATCGTCATCCAGGACTCCCAGGTAGCCGAGCGTGGGGGGCTTCGGACCTGGGTGGCTGGGAACATGGCTCCACTCGCCTGCGAGGCCAAGGATATGCCCTGGCTTTGGGGAAGGCAAGGGGACAGGTCAGCAGCCGCTGCAGGGCAGGGTGATGGAGGACTTAATGCAGTCCAGAGACTTCCTGTCCCCTCCCCTTGGCTCCCGGGGCTACTGTTCCAGTCTGGGGTGGCCCCTCTGGGGTTGGTCTCTTAGCCTGGGTCATTTCTATATCACTGCCCAGGCCAGGGCCGGTACAAAACAGGAGAGGGCAGAGCTGGACACAGTGGTGCACACCTGTAACCCAGCAGCTCAGGAGGCTGAGGCAGGAGGATCGCAAGTTTGAGGCCAGCCTCTGCAACTTAGTCCTAAGCAACTTAGTGAAACCCTGTCTTGAATTAAAAAAAATAAAAAGGACTGGGGGTGTGGCTCAGTGGTTAAGCACCCCTCTCAGAGGTGGGGAACGGAAGGTGGCAGACTTTCTGTGCCTTCCTCTTAAGACCAGGAAGCCGCCCAAAGCCTCAGCACATCTCAGTTCTCCTTGGCCCGAAGCCCTGCCCTTTCCTCACTCGGTCCCCAGGAAGCAGTGGAGAGCCTGAGCCCCGCAGGGCAGGGCAGGGGCAGCTCCCCATCATGGATTTGGCTGAGTGGTGTCAGGTTCCCTAGGATGGAGGGGGGACGAGGCCTCTCTAGATTCTTCAGAGACCCTACTGGACTTGAGTCCACTGGCGCTGGCTTGGGTCCTGGCCCTGCCACTCAGCTGCAGCGTAGGAGGAGCAGGTTGCTGAACTTGAGCCTCAGGTTCCCTCGAGGGCTGTGACGTGTTCACCTCTTTGGCTGGTGGGGGATCCACTGAGAAGCCCACGCGAGGTGCCCGTTACAAATACCGTCAGTGTATCAGTCAGCTGTTGCTGCATAACAAATGACCCCCAGACCCAGAGGTTGCAATGGCCACCATTTACATACTCCTGCCTTTGCAGGTTGGCGGTTGGGGCTGGGCTGGGCCTCCTTCAGGGATCCAGTGGCTGGCGACCATCACTCGCAGAGTGGGAGTAACTATGCCATGGGCCACTCACCCTCCAGCACAGTGGCCCAGCTTTCAAGGGTGGGAGGTCACAGGGCATCCTGGGGCCTCTGCCCAGAGCTGGCCTAGCATCGTCCTCTGCCTCCAGTCACTGAAGCTCATCCCAGGGCAGGCTGGACCCACGGTTGTGGCAGTGGCAGAGCTCCGCGGCCACTTCTGTCACCAGCCAGAGTCACCGTTATTATTAGGACAATCTCAGTGGTTCCCAGGAGAGCGAGGCTGAGAATGCAGGTGACTCTGACCACCCGTGCTTGCCCCCCACCCGGTCCGACGTCCAGACCTCTGCACCGCAGACCCCCTGGACACAGCCGTCACCAGGCAGGCGGGGAGCGCTATTGATGGTCTGTCTCTGTTTCAGGTGTCGCTGTGGGAGAGGCGGCCCCCGGCCCAGGAACCAACCAAGTGCCCGTACGTACCTGACCTTGGGTCACGGCCTGTGCGGATTGGCAGGGTTAGATTCGGGACAGTGACCCCACCTTGAGGACAGAGTCCCATGCCCCCCCTCACCTTGGCTTTCTCTTCCTGGTGTGGACAGGGGGCCGAGCAGGGGTGTTTGGGGGAGTGGGCTGCTTGCCAGCTAGGACCCCCAAGTCTCACAGGCAGGACGGGCACATGCTGGACGCCCCTGGGAGTGCCCAGTCTGGCCTGAGCAGGGAGGCTGCCATCACTGTTAAAAACCCACTGATTGTTCGCTTCTTTTCAAATCGCCACTCTCCGGAGCCTTCAGATAGGACACACCTCCCTGTCCTTGTTAGCTGTCCCCGCAGGGCCTCGTGGGAGCTCCTGGACTCTGCTCCAGCCCGTGGACCCCACGAGCGTTCTCACTGTGCTGGCTTAGGCTGTGGTCTGCCTTCTAAATGTCACCGTCCCCCTTAGGAACTTTGCCTGAGTCAATAGACCAAGTGTGTATCAGGTGCTGGGCTCTAACTGGGCCCCAGGGATCCCGCAGTAAGACAGGCCCTGCCCTCAGGGGTTCTCAGTCTAGCCGGGGAGCCTGACTGCTAAGCCGGGAGGCACACCAGGGTCAGTCAGGGATGATTTCCGCTGGGCTTTGAAGGATGAATAGGAGTTGGCCAAGGGCAACTGACCCTGACCCAGCTGCTCCCTTGCAGACACTGGAAGACGTGCCTGGCCAAGCTGCTGCCCTGTTTGCTGGAGCATGACGTGAAGAGGGACGAGGAGCCCAAGGCTGCAGCGGGCGGGCCTCTCCCGGGCCCTGAGAAGCCCACGTGGCGCCCCGTGGTCCTCTGGCCGGAGAACATCAGCGTGGCCCCGTGCGTGGAGCTGCTGGAGGCCCCGGTGGAGCGTGGGGAGGAGGCGGAGGAGGAGGAGAAGGCCAGCGTCTGCCCATCACCCGAGCACAGCGGGGGCTTCCAGGGGGGCTGCGAGGGCATCATGGTCAGGCTGACAGAGAGCCTGTTTCTGGACCTTCTGGGAGCACAGGATGGCGGCTGTCACCAGCGGGGCTCGGGGGACTTGTGCTGCCTCCCACCTCCAGGAGGGGACAGTGCCCTCCCCAGCGTGGGGCCTGAGGGGGCTGCTTCTGAGGACAAGGGGCCACCTTTCCACCCAGAGCCAGCTCCTCCGGCCAGTACCAGCCAGGGCCCGGCCAGCCCGGGCTGCTCCGAGGGGACCCTGGTCGTCGCAGACAACCCTGCCTACCGCAGCCTGCAGAGCCAGGCCCTGGGCCCCGCGGCGCTGGACCCAGACGCACAGCTGGCTGGGTGCCCTGCCTCCCAGGGGCCCCGTGTCCCCCGGCCCCCAGAGCCCCCCACCGAGCTCCAGCCCGAGCCGGAAACCTGGGAGCAGATCCTTCGCCAGAGCGTCCTGCAGCACCGGGCGGCCACGGTGCCCGCCTCGGCCCCCAGCAGCGGCTACCGGGAGCTCGCGCAGGCGGTGGGGCAGGGCGGCGCCCAGGACAGCAGCGGGGCGGGCCCCGGCCCCTCTGGAGAAGCCGGGTACAGGGCCTTCTCCAGCCTGCTCACTCCCAGTGCCCCCTGCACGGGGACAGCAGGACTTGGGGCTGGCAGCGGGGACCGGGGCTACAAGCCCTTCCACAACCTCGTTCCTGGCTTCCCCGGGGACCTGGCTCCGCTAACCGTGCCCCTGTTCACCTTTGGACTGGACATGGAGCCACCGCACGGCCCCCAAAACTCACTCCTCCCAAGCCCCCTCTTCGGGCAGCTGGGCCTCGAGCCGGAGGTCAAGGGAGAGGACGGGCAGAAGCCCCTGCTACCCCCAGACCCCCTCAGGGATGACCTGGGCAGTGGCATTGTCTACTCAGCCCTCACCTGCCACCTGTGTGGCCACCTGAAGCAGCACCAAGGCCAGGAGGGGGGTGGCCAGGCCCACGTGGTGGCCGGCCCCTGCTGTGGCTGCCATTGTGGAGACAGGTCGTCACCCCCAGGGAGCCCCATGGGGGCCTTGGACCCCAGGCCAGGTGGGCTCCCTCTGGAGGCCCACCTCGCTCCAGCACCCCAGGGACCCTTGGGTGCCTTAGAGGAGAGCAAGTCCTCACTGTCCTTCCAGTCCGCATGCCCGGCCCCCTGCAGTGCTCCAAGCTCAAGTGAGACCCCCAGAGTGGCCCTGGTCTCCACGGGCCCCTCCTCCTGAGGCTTTCCTGGGTCTCTGCCCTCGGGATGTAGAGTCTGTGGGTTGGATCTGGGCCGACCCCTGCCTGGGAAATGCTGCCCGGGGGCAGCCCAGCGGGCAGATTACCAGAGCTTCCTGCCAGAGCTCTGTGGAAGGAAGCCGTGAACTTGGCCTAACTGAGGCTGCAGAGACGGACCCTTCCCCGGGCACCGTCTGGACTCAGCACATGCACTGAGTGGAAGGCCCGGGGCAGCTGTCCCGGGGCAGCGCTTACAGGGACTGAGAGTTCCCAGGAGCTGGCTGCTTGTCCGAGCTTCCCCAGCAGCCTGGCCCGCCCTGGCCTGCCCAGGGCACTCTGTCCCCCACCCTGTGCTGCCCCAGCTCCCCGAACTGGAAGCTGAGCCCAGAATCCGGCAAACCAAGGAGGGAAAGCTTGGGAGGCCTTGGCAACGGTGGGAAACGAGCTGCAGGGCGCGGGGTGGGGGCCCCTCAACACAGCTGCTCTGGGTCCATAATCCGAGGTGCAGCAGCTCAGCTGCACCAGACAAGGCCAGAAACACGGTCATCACCAGTAGTGACAGTCGCCGCCAGCTGCCTGTGCCGGCTGCAAGCCTGGGGCAAGGGGGTCCCAGGTACACAAGCCGGGCGCCCTGCAGCTGGACCGCCGGCACCGGGGCTGGGCAGTGTGCATGCCTTCAAGGTCGCCTTACCACCTGGTCTCTGCTGGGGACAGTGGAACAGGACAGGGCGGGAGTTTTGTATAAATAAAGGTCCTTTATCTCTGTGTTTTTTGTTTATTGAATAAACAGACGGCGGCACCGCGGTGGGGACTTTGGCTCTGAGCACACGGGCCCTCCCCGGGCGGAGCGGGGCTCGGGGCTAAGTGCCCGGTGGCCTTTGTTTGGGTTCCCCGGGGCGGGACCCGAGAGCAGTCAGCGGACTTAACAAGTGATCCCGGAAACCCAGTTACGGGGGTGTTGGGGAGGGACAGAGGCGACGAGGGGCGTGACCCAGAGGACGCCCAGCCTGGGCCACGAGCGCCTCATGGCGCATGCCCAGCGCACTGTCCGTCATCGGTGAAGGGAGGGCCGTCTGTCATCCAAGGGAGGGAAGGCCGACCCTCATTGGTGGAGGCAGGGCCGTCCGTCATTGGTGGAGGGAGAGCCGTCCGTCATTGGTGGAGGGAGGGCCGACCCTCATTGGTGGAGGCAGGGCCGTCCGTCATTGGTGGAGGGAGGGCCGTCCGTCATTGGTGGAGGCAGGGCCGTCCGTCATTGGTGGAGGCAGGGCCGTCCGTCATTGGTGGAGGGAAGGCCGACCCTCATTGGTGGAGGCAGGGCCGTCTGTCAATGGTGGAGGGCGGGCCGTCTGTCGCTAGCAGAGGACTGTCTCCAGGCGCCAGTTCTCCAGCAATACCAGCTGCTCTGGAGGCGGGAGGGAACTTCAGACAGCGCTGGCCATGTTTGAGGCGCTCATGGCAGATGGCAACCCTGGTTGCTACACCTTTTTTTTTTTTAATATTTATTTTTTCGTTGCAGCTGGACACAGTACTTTTATTTTATTTATTTTTATTTGGTGCTGAGGATCGAACCCAGGTCCTCGAACGTGCTAGGCGAGCGCTCCACCGCTGAGCGCAACCCCAGCCCCTGGTTGCTACACTGTGCCAAGACCACAGAAAGGGTTCGTGGTGGGCCTGCGGCTGGATCTTCATCATCCTGTAGGTGATCAACATTCCAAGCAGATGGAGCAATGGGGTGGGTCCCAGGGAGGCGGGCAGGGGATCTTGAGCGCCTATGTTGCAAACACCAGCAGGAGCTGCAAAGAAAGCAAATAGAGCTCGGATACAGGGTGCTGATGGTGCTTAGGGAGGCTGTCAAGGAGGTGACATTTGACCTGAGCCCGCAGTGACCAGAAGAAGCCAGGATGAACTGGAGGGAGAACATGCTGGAGGAGGGTCAAGCACGTGCAAAGTCCCTGAGGCACGAGAAGTGTGGAGAAGTGAGCCAGGGACCATGGCCAGGGCATGATGGGGCCAGAGTGAGGAGTTTGTATTTTAGCATAAACACCCGTGAGCCCTACGCACTAAGAAACCCGGTGCAATAGAAAGCAGCCTCCTGTCAATTCCCCCAATCCCACACGAACTTAAGGTACCCCAGAATCTGGAGCCAAGGAGAAGAAGAGGAACTACTGGAAGTGTTCCCCCAATAAGGCTCCCTTCCACCTTGCAGAAGCAGAGAACGAACGTTCCTCCTGACAGCACTAACTGGGATGGTCGAAATCCTCCTCATTAATATTTTTGCCCTAGGACAAAAAGATCCCCATCAGAATGAGCCGACTCACATCAGGGGACCCACTGCCAGGCCTCCCAGAATTTCCTTGACCAAGGAAGGACCTTTTAAAAATGTCCTTAAAACCTGGCCCCTGATCTCCCATTAAGTCAAGGAAGCCCCAGGGCCGTGGGCGTGAAGCCTGGCTACTCACTCCTCTGTCCCTTAATCCCGCCTGGGCCTCAGTTTTCTCATCTGTAAAGTAGAAAAGGTGATAGAATCTGTGGGTCCCCCTACCCAGCCTGGCCACACAGGTGGCGATACAAGAAGGTGCAGATGGCTTGGAAACCAAAGCTTCTCGGTCCCCTGGGCCTCCTCCGGGCCTCCATGCAGGGTCTCCTGATGACCCCAGGCTCCCCAGCCTGCGCCTCCCTGGCCTGCGCCTCCCCGGCCTGCGCCTCCCCAGCCTGCACCTCCCTGGCCCTCACGGCTCCCTGGCTCATGCCCACCCCTTGGCGGTGCTCCCTGGTGACTGGGACCTAGGGTCAGCTCCTCCTTGAGGGGTGACTGTTGAAGCTAACAAAAGCCGAGATCCCGAGCCAGGGCCAAATGTTAGTTCAAGTCTGCAGGAAGGGAGGCTGGGGAGAGGGAGGAGCGGGGACTCTGGCTCCTCTTAGGGTCATCTTAGGGAGGGGTTTTAGAGTCCCATGAACCCCACGGAGCTGTGGCTAGAGGGGAATGACCCCAGTCCACTTCCTGTTCCCAAGGACAGGACACCATACACTTGGTGAGTTATAAACAAAAGAGGCCCGAGGCTGAGGTGCCACCCCTGGTGACAGCCTCCTTGCTGGCAGAGTCCGCAGGTGGTTCAGGACCTCGCCAGTGTCCCCTGGTCTCTACCAGGTAACATCCTGGGGCTCCACCCTGCTGGCCTCATCCAGTCCTGACCTCCACCAGGAGGCCCCCCTGTCCCTCTGTCCCCAGAGCTGGGTTCCATTTCTGCCTCTCCGTGCTCCCCCTGGGGACCCCACGCAGCCCAGCTCTGGGGGTCCCGCTGTGTTTAAATCGCAGCAGAAAGATCTCCCGGCTTGTTCTGAGGTGGCCTCTCGCCTGGACGGGCAGCCAGTGCGACCGAGGACCTTACGATCTCACTCCATGGCCATCCGTCAGCGATTATCTTTGCTCTAAATTGTTTACTAACATTTAAACTTGATTCCTACGACATTTATTCCTTCACCTCGGCCTAGAAGGCAAGAGAGAAAGATCTAGAAGGGAGGAAAACCAGGGGGAACAGACTGCACCCACGTGGCACCCCAAGAGCCACGGGGAGGGGGTGGCAGGTCGGAGCCCCTCTCCTGGCAGTCAGCGTGGTGGGGACTGGGCAGGGTGCTGGTGGCACCATCAGAGCCGGCTGGGGATGGCCTGGTCCCCTCTGGAAGGGCCCAGCTGGCTCTGGGGGGCCTCTAGCTGCCCCCTTGGGGGGTCCCTCCCAATACCACACCCCACTCCTGCTTTGACAAAGATGGGGTCCCAGGGGCTCCCGAGTGCATCTGCTTGGATTTCTCTTCAAAGCCCGTTTCGGAAGCCACCGGAAACCCCGTGCCCCGGGCACCTGGCACCCGTGGGCGGCTGGGTTTGGAGAAGTCCCTCCCTGACATCCTGTTCACAACCCTCTGGCATTATTTTCCCACGGAGGTCATTAATTAAAAACCAAAAAGAGAGAGAAAAAAACCCAGCGCGTTCTCGAGCCCCCGCTGCAGGGGCGGCCTGACCTCACCCGGTGCCGTCAGGGCCCCATGTTCCCGCGTGGGACTTGCCCGTGATGTAAGGGGCAAGTCACCAGCTTTTCTCTCCCGTGCGGCCTGGAGGGGCGGGGCCGCGCCCTCTGCCTCGTTGGACCCTCGGCCTCCTCCAGTTCGGTGCTGTGTGACCAGGCGCAAGGTACTTAACCTCTCTGGGCTTCAGTTTCCTCCTAGATAGGAGAGGAGGGAGGCGCGCGGCGGTGGCGTGGGAAGCACATGACAGATTGCGACACCAGGTGATCTTGATTAGCCCCAGTGTTCCCAGCAGGTCACTCAGCCCTTGGCTCAGATCTCACCGGCTTCCACTGATGGCCACAGAAAAGCCTCCGGCAAAGCGCCCCAAAGCTCGGCTGCTTGACTCCTGCTGCCCCCTGGCGGCCCACAGGGGCCCCAGCGCCCGTCTTCATCTCAGCTGCTCCAGGTCCCGCGGGGGGCGGGGAACCCGGCCGCAGAGACCGCACCCACCTAACCCCACCTTCCTCCTCCCTTCATTCTCCCACAACCCCGCCAGCCCCCCAAAGGAGAGCCTGAGGAATACTAGGCATCAGGGAGCGCCAAGGGCCAGCTGTGTGGCACCGGGCCAGTAGGCGACCTCTCTGTGCTTGCTTCATCTGTAAAGTGGGGGAAATAATAGTATCTCCATGGAGGCGGTGTGGGGGGAGTGGAGTACGTTGGTGCAGGCGAGGCCCTCAGCAGCATGCCTGCCCACGCCGGTGCCTTAACTGGGCGGCTGCCCTTGTTCTGGATGGAATTCCGAAGGCTCTGTGGACGGGGGAGGGGAGGGTGTAAATCACCATCAAAGAAATGGCAACGTTCTCAACTTAATGCTACTTTCGTATAAAAAGGACAAAGAAGCTGGGCATGGTGGAGCACGCCTGTCATCCCCGGGGCTCAGGAGGCTGAGACAGGAGGATCGCGAGTTCAAAGCCAGCCTCAGCAAAACCGAGGCCCTAAGCCACTCTGTGAGACCCTGTCTCTAAATAAAATACAAAATAGGGCTGGGGATGGGGCTCAGTGGTTGAGTGCCCCTGAGTTCAATCCCTGGTACCAAAAAATTAAAAAGAAAAAGATAATGATAATAATAATAATAATAATAATAATAATAATAATAATAATAAAAACCCACAGAGATCCAAGAGGAAAAAAAAAATCGCCCCGCCCACACGATTCGGTATATTGCGCATGCGCAGTTCCAGTTGGCTAGGGCTGGGCTTGTGTTTCTTCTTTTCTTTTCTTTGGACCCAGGATCACTCAACTGAGCCACGTCCCCAGCCCTTTTTATCTTTTATTTAGAGACAGGGCCTCGCTAAGTTTCCAAGGTTGGCCTCAAACTTGTGATCCTCCTGCCTCGGCCTCTCAAGCACTGGGATTGCAGATGTGCCTGACCCCACCTGGTGCCCCAGAGACACCGTTGTCCACGGATGCGCAAGCCCCTTGTATGGAATGGCATGGGGGTCCCGGTGACCTGCCCACACCCTCCGTCCCCGGTAAGTCCTCTCCAGATCACTAGAGATACCCTGTGAGCGCTCTCACTGTGCATGGGGGTCCCTGTCACTCTGCAGTGACGAGGACAGTCTGCACATGTTCTAAACAGACGCAATTTAAAAAAAAATAGTTTTCAGTCAGCAGTTGGTTGGGTTCAAGGGCGCGGAGCCCACGGGTGCAGAGGCGAGGACACCTAGACCTGCACCCTCCTGCCACCACGCTGCCACGCTGTCCCCTCCCTCATGCCCACCCTCGCCAGCCTCAGAGGACCTGGCCCAGACCCTGCTTCTGTCCCCCCTGGGGACCCGAGGCTGAGCGTCCACCGGTCTGTCCGAGGAGGACACGAAGCAAGGACGCGGGGACTGGCAGAGACAGAGAAGGACACTGGCCTGACCGGCTCCCTCAGGACCTCCAACCACAGGGTGACCTCAGTGTCAGCCACAGGCGACGTTCTGATCCTGGCCAGAGTCCAGCTCCTGTCCCCGGCCAGCGAGGGGCCTCTGACCCCAACAAGACTGGTTTCTGACCCAAGCTATTGACCTGTTCAGGATCCCAGCCACAGGCTGCCCTCGAGCCTGGCCGCACGCTGACCTTCCACCCCAGCCGCGGCCAGCTTCTGGTTCTGCCGCCCTGGCCCCTCATCCTTTATAACTGTCTCACAAGACCCCACCCAGGAACTGGCATTTGCCGAATTCCTGCTGCCAATTCAGCTTGAATTAATTGGTCAACAAAGCTGAACTGTCTGTCCTTCCTCTCTACCCTGGGACCACAGGGCAGGCTCCCAGTTCTCCTTTCCAACCTGAGAGCAGCGTGAGAAGGCCCCTTTACCACTTTTCTTCTGCTTTGTATGCGATGTCTGGTGCTCTGGCAGCCATCATGTGATCATGAGAGGACATGCTTGGAGAGGAAAGATAGTGTTCTGAATACGGCAGGGTCTGTGTCCTTGGAGACATCATTGAATGATCAAAGCAACCCTTGGATTCTTAAATAAGCCATAGCATGCTTTTAAAAAAAATAAACCCATGGAGTTCCTTTGGCAGCTTTAACAATTGTAGTAATTAGAATAACAGACATACAAAGACGTCCTGTCTGAATCCCCAGAGGCTGGGAACAGGCTGTGTTATGTGGCAAGAAGGAATGAAGGTTGCAGATGGAATCAGAGCTCCTCACGGCCTGGCCTGGAGACGGGCACGTCATCCTGGACCATCCAGACGGACCGACTGTAATCACAGGTCCTTGGGGGTGAGAGGGGCGCAGGGGAATCAGAGCCAAGAGAAACTTGGCGGTATCATGCTGCTGGCCCTGAAGACAGGGCCAGTGGCCGCGAGCCAAGGAATGCAGGCGCCTCCTAGACACACAAGGTCACAGGTGGGACTCTCCCCAGAGTCCCCCGAAGGATGGCAACCCTGGGGACGACACTGAGCTTCTGACCTGCAGAAGTGTCACATGATAAATCTGTGGGAGTCAGTGCAGCTGCGGGGTGGGGCCACAGCCCCGGGTCCGACCTTGGCTTCTGGACAGGGCCAGCTGTGGGGAGGCCAGCTCCGCGCCCCTGTCACCCCGCAGTCCCACGCTCAGGGGGACCACCCTGGAATGCAGCACTCTGAAGCCCCCACCTTGAAATTCTTACTAGTTCTGTCTTCAAGTCGCAGCCGCACACAGAGGGCTTGCAGCTGCATCTGACGGCTGTCACCTCCTGCCACTGCTGCTCCTGGGCAGGGTCCTGGCCACCTGCCGCACGCCCCCAGCCCTCCACCCCCCTCCACCTCCCATGGCCGCTGCTGCCCTCTGCCCTCTGCGGGGACCTGGGGGCCCTGGAGGGCAGGGCCGTGGCTCACCTCATGACACCTTGGGCTGGGGGTGGTGACAGCGTCCCTGTCCTGGTGTGTCTGCCCAGACAGGACAAGCCTTCCTTTTGTTGGTCCTGGGGATTTAGCGGGGGCCCGCTTGCCCACTGAGCCACATCCCAGCCCTTTTTATGTCTCATTTTGAAAGGGGGTCTGCTAAGTGCTTGGGGTCTCACTAAGTTGCTGAGACTGGCCTCCAACTCTCCATCCTCCTGCCTCAGCCTCCAGAGCAGGGATGTCAGTGGCAAGACCAGCATCACGCCTGCCCCAGGAGCCCAGAGTCCCCATCCTGAATTCTTAACCCTTTCTCTACCTGCACTGCCAAGGCCGAGCCTCCTCCCCACCCTGCTCCTGGGCTCTCCCGGCCTCCTCCGCGGGCTTCTGCCCTCCCCATTGCACAAGTCCCAGAGCAGGCCAGGCCCCCTCCGCCTGCCTCGTAGCCCTCCCCCTCCCCTCCCTCCTCTCTCCCCTCCCCTCCCTCCTCCCCCTCCCTCCCTCTCCACTTCCTCCCCTGCACCCCTCCTCCACTCTCAGTGCACAGTGGGCCTGACCCGGCCTTGAACCTGCTTTCACTGAAGCCCTGAGGGCTCCTCTCCATCCGCCTTCCTGCCGCACTCGGCCTCTGCTCCCCTCTCAGAACTGCCTCCCCCTCCGCGCTGGCGGCCTGCCCCGCGCCCAGCCGCCCCAGGTCTCCCTCTCTGCCCTTCCCTAAGAATCCAGGGCCCCCCATAAAGGCCCCCACCTCCTCCGCTCCCCTCTCCCCTCCCCCTCCTCCCTCCAACTCTTGATCCTCCTGCCTCAGCCTCCAGAGCCCCTTCTCCCTCGCCCTCCCCCCTGATCCTTACTTACTGTGTGTTGGGCACCACGTGGGCCCTGGAACATAACAGAAGAGCCAACGAAGATCTCTGCGCCCCTCTCCCCATCCACCCTTTCCCCCTCCCTCCCGCCCCTCCCCCTCCCCTCCCCCTCCCCCCTCCTCTCACATTCTCTCCCTGGAGTTAACTGCAGCCTTCGCTAAACTGACTGCAGTTTCACGGGGCAGCGATTGTGCAGCCCAGGACCCAGCGCCCCTGGCACAGAGGGGATCACAGACACCATTGGGCACTGTGGTGCACTCCTGTAATCCCAGCAGCTTCGGAGGCTGAGGGAGGAGGATTGCAAGGCCAGCCTCAGCAACTTTGTGAGGCCCAATTTCAAAATACAAAGGGCTGGCGTGGGGCTCAGGGCTGGAGCACCCTGGGTTCAATCCCCAGGACCAACCAAGAATGCACTCAGGAGGCTTCCCTGGATGGACTGATGGATGAGTGAAAGAAAGACATGTTCTAAACCATCAGCCCTCTCACCTCAACCCCAGAACCATGTCCCCAGCTATGGTGGGGCACATCCCAGTGACCACAGCTTCCCCGGGGACACGTCCTGCAGCCTAGCCGGTACACCCCACCCTGTGACGTGATGAGCATCATTCTATTGGTGTATGTTATTGACTCTTTTCATTTTGATCAGTTCGCAGTCTTCCCTCTGGAAGGAGCCTCCAGGGAGCAGAGATTTTCGTTTGCTTCACTGTTGAATTCCAGGGCCCACCTGGGGCCCAACACATAGTAAGTGCTCAATAAACACGTCTTGAACCGATGAGCGGATCTCACCACGGACAAACCCACAGATCTCAGACTCAGTGTATCCAAAATAGCCCTTTGTCCTCCTCTGGGGACATCCTCCTTTTGGTTCCTGGTCTTGATTGCTAAACCTACCCAGCAGGCATCACCAGGCCCGTGCCTTCCTTCCTCATCTGCAGATTCTGGCACCGACTGTCTGTCCCTGTGACCCTTCGCCCTGGCTCCTCCATGCACCACATGCACCACACCGTCTCCTGCTTGCAGCCCCTGGGCTGATCCTAACACTGCACCAGGACCAGGTGGTGACAGAGTCTCCCTCCTGCTCCTAAGGGGACACAGGTCCCGGAGGTCCTGAAGGTGATGTGAGGTGGCCTTGGGCATCAGTTCGGGAAACTTGTTCCTTTTTCAGCCTCTCTCTCCCTCGGGCCTTCCGCAGGCTGCCAGCAAGTCGCCAGAATTGAAATGACTCGGTTTTGGTTTCACTGTGGGCTCTGCAGTTCCGTCTGTTTATGGTCAAGGAGGCTGGCGCTCCATTTGTGAAGGGACAAGGTCTCCTCTGAAAAGAAAGCGAAATAGGTCAACCAACACGAAGGGCTCAGGAATCAGGGTGGAGGGGAAATGCAAGTATGGCCCAAGTGACCTGTCGTGCAGCGGGATGGGCCCGGGAAGTGTCCAGAGCTCCTGGCAACCAGGTCCCGGTGCCCGGCTGCCCCTCAGTGTGACACCTGTGACACCTGCAGCCACGCTGGGACACGGCCCTGGCCCCATTCCCAGGGCACCTCGTGCAGTTTCGACCCCAGGCCTGTCTCTTCACTCTGGCCTGTCCCTCACGCTCCTCCCGGACCACTCTGTGCCCCTGTCGCCCAGCACGGTCCTCCCTGGGGAAGGACCCTCGCCACTCCCAGCCCCGCACGTGGCTTCCGCGGACCTGATGTCACTCTGCGCTCCCACAGCGCGCGACTCAGGCGCGGCCAGTCAGAGTGCTCCTTCCCCAATCCGTGTAGGGATTGGCTCCCAGGCGCTCATGTGATTAAATCTGACCAATGAGAGCCGTTCCCTGATCCATCCCGGGAACTATCACTTTCTTTCGCGATTCGTAGCTGATAGCTGATAAGGCTCCACCTCTGGGAGTCCCCACCCCACCGCACACACTTTTTTACTACCACTGAGGCTCCCTTATCCTACTTGGGGTTGAGAAGCAAGCAGATTCCAGAGGCGGAGGCTTCCAACCTGCAGAAAAAAATTTGAGCACCTTGATCCATCCATGCCTGAAACTACACTCTAATTTTTTTTTTTAATCACTTGCAACTACAAGGCTCCTGGTCAAAGAATGAGTTTAAGCTTTATTGACATAAAATTCATATAGCATATAAGTCACCCTTTCAACCATTTAAAAATGCATGATCCATAACACACTGGGTTCTAGTAGAGTCACAGTGTTGTACCCATGTCACCACTGTGTGATTCCAGAATCTCACAACACAACCACCATCTCCAGAAACAAAAATAAAAACCATGATCCTTCTCACCCACTCCCAACTGCCCTCCCCCAGTGCATGTCACCACCTGAAATATCTCAGGCATTTCTCTGAGCACCCCCTCAATACAGGGCCGGGTTGTTCTCCCCTCTGTGCACACTCCCCGTGATTTTTAAATCTTATTTATTTTTAATCATGAAACATTTCAAACAGACAGAAAGTCAATCCCTGTGTGTATCTCCTACTACATTTTTGATGTCGGGAACTGGGACTTGATTTCTTCTTGTGTCCCCATTTCCCAGCACAGGGTCTGCACCAGACAAGGTGTTCAGTCAAGCAAAACAAGAAGCCAACCCGGGCCCACCTTCACCGTCTCAGCCCTGGGCTGAACCAGAGCTTAAAGATTCTGCCAATGTTTGTTGATTGGCTGGTTGACCTCCTTAGTAAACGTCAGGCCCCTCCTCCTGCCTGTGTGTGCAGGGCTGTGGTGGGGCTGGGCAGGAGGGACTTTATCTGAGCCGATCACTTCCCACACTCTGACATTTAATTAAACCCAGAACTAAACTGACAGTTGTTTACCATAGCTGGGTACCCCCCAGAATTCCCCCACTTCAGAGGCTTACAGGTAGAATAGTGGGGAGGCTGAGCAGATCAGGGACGCAGGGCCCGTGGCTTCTCTGTCTCTGTGTTGTCCCATCTGTGCAGCACAGCTGATGACGCTGAATACCCTGTGGGGTCACGGGGGATTGGCTGAGTGAACCCCTGCTGTCCTTGAGGAAGTCTGCTGCCCAGGGTGCTTAGCTGCGTTCTCCCAGCGCTGCACGAGGCCACCCAGCACTGCACGAGGCCACCCAGCCACGGCCCCCGGGGCTTACCCACCGCCTCGCTCCACTGCATCTCAGGTTAGGCGCTGCCTCCTCCAGGAAGTCCTCCGGCTCCGCATACCTTGGGTAGGTACTGCTCTTTGGGCTTCTTGGTGCCCATGTGTCCCATCCGCACCAGCAGGGACAGTCTCAGATACCCCCAGGTGCCCTGAGCCCGGCACAGGGCAGATGCCCTGAGTGCAGGCTCTCGTGGTGCACACCTGTAATCCCGGGGACTCGGGAGGCTGAGGCTGGAGGATCGCAAGTTTGAGGCCAGCCTTGGCAACTTAGTGAGACCCTGTCTCAAAATGGAAGATAAAAAGGGTGGAGTCCAGAGGCAGGGCCCCCTGGCTTCGATCCCCAGTGCCCCCCCCCCCAGAAAAAGAGAAAGAATATACCAGAACATGCATCGAAGGATAACAAGAGCTTTTGACTTGTCCCTGATGCTTCTGAGACCGTCCTGACCCAGGCACCCAAGCTCTGGCTCCGTCCTCCCTGTGTCCCGGGGAGGACAGGTGTGCAGAGCCCCGGAGCAGGTGGGGAGCAGCAGAGGCTGCGACTGGGGCTCTGGTTTGTCCCTTGCTGGTTGACCCTGGGTTTGGGCTGCGGGGGCACCGTGACTACGCTGTGGGGGCCACATGAATGGCTGCTTGGGTCTGCCCAGGGCCAGCTGTCCTGCCACCAGGTTTTGTGTGAACGCCTCCCTCCTCCTGGGCTGCTCTTCCCCTCCTGGCTGACCGCAGCTCCCTTTTGTGGCCCGAGGTCTGTGCTCCCCACCTCCCCTGCCCCCCAGGCCCTGAGCTCCAGCTGTCAGTAAGTGCTTGTTGACTGACTGACTGACTGTGCTTGGTAAATATTTTTGTGAGACTTTGACCTTTTCCCATGTGAATGTGGGGAAACCACGGCAGCTTGAACTTTCAGTAAAGCAGAGGCCCTTTGAGGAAGGGAGGCTGCACCGAAACCCAGCCGGCTGCCTGGAAGCCGAGTCATCGCGGCCCATCCGCCCTGGGCTGCAGCCTCTTGGAAGAGCCGCTGTCCCTGGGCCAGCCCTGCCGGGAGGAGGTCGGTGACTGAGGAAAGAGCTTGTTGGTGGGGGGCGGGGGGGGGGCGCTGGGGGATGGGAGGCAGAAGGGCTTGCAGGGTGGGTGGGTAGCGCATCTGCAAATGCACGTGGACTTTGTCCTTTGGAGCGTGATCTGGTCTCAGGGACTGAAAGAGCCTGGGGTGCCAGGAACGTGGCATGCTTGGACCTAATGCCAGTCTCTGTCCCCTGCACCCTGCCTGCTCCTGGCTCAGGTGGGACCATGTGGCTCTAAGGAGAAGAGCCTCGGATTCCCGCGAGTGTGTGGAAGCGGGAGCAGGTGGCGGTCCCTTCACTTGGCCGCCGGGTGCAGGAGCAGATGGAGCCCGTGTCAGGGGTGCTCAGGGGACCCCGGGTGGGAGCGTGCGGGGTCCTCCGCAGCCTGTCGCAGGACGCACTGGTACCCGGGAAGCTGCGTCCGCGCTCTTGGGTCGCAGGTGCACACGGGTGTGAGTAGGGCTGGGGTTTCACGTGCCCATTTGCACACACAGGCCCGTGAATGAGCTCCTGAGCACCCGAGGGGGCTGGTGTGGGGTTTGTGAGAAGGATCGCGGGGCTGATTGACCCCAAGCCCCAGAGGTCCAAATCGCCATTTGGGGTCTTCTTTTCTGTGCGACCAGGGACACTTCCTTCATTTCCTTGGGCTTCGGTTTCCTCATCTGTGATCCGGGCCAGCGATGACTCCCGCCCCCTAGAGTTGTTTGGGGGAATGAATAAGATACTGCCATCTGGCATACAGTAGGCGCTCAATGTGTGCTCACTGTTGCTGTTTTCATTCGTGTGTTGAACTCACCTGTATCTGCACATATGTGTCCCCCAGGAGGACTGTCTTAGAGCGGTTGGGACGTTTCATGGGGGCCAAGGGGAGCGTGGATGGCAGGGGGTCGGCAGTCCCCGTCTGAGGTGGCTGGAGGTGGCTGGGCTGTGGACGGTCCTCGTGGAACAGTCTCTGCTCTGAGGATCAGGCCCTTCCCGCTGTCCTCCTTCTGCGGAGGCAGAGAGACCTGGTCTTTCCTTGGTCACCTACCCGCCCTGCAACTGGACGGGCCAGCCTCTGCCAGGCCAGCTCACGGGGCTTTGAAGAGACAGAATGAGAAGAGGGTGAAGAGCTGCCACCCAGGTAGAGGGTGGTCCCCGCTGTGCCCGTGTGAGTCCAGCTGGGGGTGAGGCTGGTTGCCTGCCAGATTCTCCCACAAGGGCCTATAAACCAGGCAGAGCATCTGCATGCAGTTGGCGCTCAATGTGTGCTCACTGTCCAGAAAGGAGATGCGGTTCCCGGAGAGCCCTGGAGCACAGCTGGGGCTGGGCACTGGAACAGCCTGTCCTCCGTGGCCAGCCTGGCTCAGGGCTGGCAGGAGCCAGTGTGTGTCCTGGGGTGACGGGCAGCGGCAGAGCCGGGCTGGCCAGAGGAGGGCGGGGAGAGCCAGCGAGCACCCAGCAGGTGCAGGGCCTGCGCAGGGGCCGGGATCCAGAAGGAAGCCCGTGCCCTCCCACAGGGCCCAGGCGAGTGCAGGGGGCAGCCAGCCAGGAGACTGGGGGACATTCCTGGGGACACACAGGGGGAGGGAGGTGTGACCAGGGAGGGAGGGAGAAGTAAGAGAGTGCGCTTCACCAACATCTGGAGGGACAGGAGCGCTGTCCTGGGAGGGAGCAGCTGTGCACAGGCCCTGAGAGCAGCTGCAGCCACCAGGTGACCAGAGCCCCCGGAGCAGGAGGGGAGGGGGCGACTTTGGGGCGGGAGGACCTGTGGGGGTGGGGGGAGGTTGTCTTAGTCTCTGGGTGGACACTGGGAGGCCTGGGGGTTCAGAACCTGGGCGGGACACGCTCACCCCACTTCGGGTCTAACGTGGTCACTCTGACCCCGTGGGGAGGCCCAGGGGCTGCAGCGAGGGAAGCCGTGGCCGAAACCGCCTGCCCAGGATGCTGGTGGCCCAGAGCCGGGAGGTGGCCTCCGTGTGGATTCTGGGTTTGGAGGTAGAGGCAGCAAGAGTCCCTGAGGCGGATCCGGCTGGTGGGAGACAGGGGGGCAGGCGGGGGTCTGTGCCATCGCCATCCTGGCCCCTGGCCCCTCCCCTCCTCAGTGACTGACCCCGAGGCACAGGACCCCAGCAGCCACCTGTGTTGAGCCCTGGCCGGGGACGCGAGACCTCCTTGCGTCTGCAGGCTCACCCCGGGGGGCCTCCTCACCCCCATGTGTCAAGTGGGGTGCAGAGGCTCAAAAATAGGAAGGGCCTCACCTGTCCCCAGGGGGTGGGGACAGCACTTCAGATGTCCCCTCTGCGGTCCACAGCCTGGCACGGTTTTGTCTCCCAAGGGACATGAGGCAATGTGAGGAGAGGCTCTTGAGGATCGTGCTTGGTGGGAAAAGGCATCTGGGAGTAGATGCCAGGGGACGCTGAAGCCACCTGCCATGCACAGGACGGCTGCCCGCCCCAGAATGACCCAGCCCAGCTGTGCCCAGGTTCCCGTGGACACGCTCCATTCACGGGCTGCCCAGCGCAGGGGGACACTGCACCCCCAGCCCCCAGGCCTCATAGACATCGCCTGGGGGTCCAAGGCCCCTCAGGAAAGCAAGCTTGTGCTGGGGGAGCTGTGGTGACAGGTGACATGCAGCCAGTTTCCTCCTGTGCCAGCTGCCAGTTCCCGGAAACCAAAGGGGGCACGCTCCTTGGCATCTCCTTTTCAATTAGCCCTGGTCCATCTTTGCAGCTGATCCCCAGGCCCTGCAAGTGCCCGGTCCTTTCTGATGGCCTGTGGCTCCGCCTCTCCCTTCCCCGCCTGAGAGCCTTCTGTGGCTCCCAGCAGCCGTGGGACGAGGTTGGTCCGGCTCCTTGCTCTGGACACTGCCTTTCCCTCCTGGCTCTGGCTTCCTCCTGGGTCTCATGCCTCTTTCCCTGCCACCCACAGGGGGCCTCCTCATTCCCCGAAGAGGCGGTTCCCTCCCGCCCCCGCCATTCTGGCTCACCAAAGACCCGACTCTGGGCTTGGTGGAGCGCCTCTGTGGTCGGTTTCCTTCCTCTTTCTCTTGGCTCTAATCTTTATTATTTCCCTTCTCTTTCTTTCTCTGGGTTTATTTTTCTGTCCTTTTCTAACTTAGTGATGTCTGAAACGTGTTTTTTTTGGTTTTTTTGTTTTTTGTTTTTAGCTTTTCTTCTTTCTTAACACCTGGGTTTTAAGGCTACGCATTGCCCTCTAAGTACTGCTATAGCTGCAACCCACATGGCGGAATGTCTGCTTTTTCTACCAGTTTTCTATAAGGGAAAGCAACCTGGTCCAAACTGGCTGAAGCCAAAAGGAAACTCCTTGTCTCATTTGCCTGAGACCAGGGATGTTCCAGATTTCAGATCAGGGTGGAAGGATGGGATTGTGGAATATTTGCAAGTAGGTAATGAGACATAATACAAAGTTAATTTATGTTCTATATTCACCTGCAGGTAATTCTATACAGTATTTTAGGGCCCCTGCACTTTGACTGTGACCCCTCCCCTGAGGTCAGGTAGGAAGTTTTCCTTTGGTGGCCATCATGGGGGTCCCCCCAAAAGTTCCCAAGTCTGGAGCATTTCAGATTTGGGGTTTGGGGATTAAGGATGCTCATTGGTTTCGCCAGCCGGTTTTTCTGCTTTGACCAAATGACCTGACAAGAACGATTTTAGAGGAGGAGAAGTTTATTTGGGGGCTCAACATTTCAGAGGTCTCAGGCCCCAGATGGCCGACTCCGTAGCTCTGGGTCCAAGGTGAGGCAGAGCATCATGGTGGAAGAGCGTGGTGGAGGGAGGTAGCTCAGGACGTGGCCACCAGGAAGCAGAGAGGAGGAGACAGCTCTTCTCACCAAGGACAAAGTGTATACCCCAAGGGCACACCCAGTGACCCACTTCCTCAGCCACACCCTCTCTGCCTGCTGTCAGCACCCAGTTAATACACGATTAGGTGAAGGCTGTCATAACCCCAACCACGTCACCTCTAAACCTTCTCTCCTTGTGTCACACGTCAGCTTTGGGGGGGGCAT